TTTCTTTCTGCGAGTAAACCGTCAAAACGTTATCAAATCTGCGGGTTAGATTCCGTTAAAATCGCGAGATGGGTTTTTATCGCGTTTTAGGTCCTTCCGGGCCGTTTTGCGATAAAAACCGTTTTCCGACTTTTTACGGGATCGTTTCCTGATCTGACGTCGTTTTTAATAAATTTCTCGAGTTAATCGCAAAGTTTTATGATTTACTCGACTTTTTATTAAAAACACATTTTTTACGACTTACTCGGCGTTTTTTATTAAAAGCGCGTTTTTACGATTTGAACGAAAAATCTCGAATAAATCGTATAGTTTAGGAAATGTTCGGTGTTTCGTTTAACCGTTGCCGTTTTATACGATTTCCTCGAGTTCTTTCCGAGAAAATGAAGTTTTACGGTTTTTATCGTAAAACTCGAACGGTAAGTCGGATCGAGATGGAACGAGAGATATTTCGGCCGTGGTTTAGAATGCGACCTTGTCGAAAGAAGTAAGTTTCGAATCGGGAATACGGGAAATCGAGACACAGAGTGTCCGGGACGTCTCTAGTTCGCCCATCGGCGTACTAAGCCGGGCCCGGCTTAGTACGCCGATGGGCAAACTAAAGAGTGACTCTTAGTACGCCCATCGGCGAACTAAGCCGGGCCCGGCTTAGTTCGCCGATGGGCGAACTAGTTGCGACTAGTTCGCGTTTTACGGCTTTTTCGGTTTTTTGCGGTTTTGTAAAACGATTCTCGAGTTTTATAAAACGATCTTTGGATTTCATAAAACGACTTTTGAGTTTTATAAAAACGATTTCTCGAGTTTTATAAAACGATTCTCGAGTTTTATAAAACGATTCTCGAGTTTTATAAAACGGTTTCTCGAGTTTTATAAAGCGATTCTCAAGTTTTATAAAACGGCTTCTCGAGTTTTATAAAACGGTTTCTCGAGTTTTATAAAGCGATTCTCGAGTTTTATAAAACGATTCTCGAGTTTTATAAAACGGTTTCTCGAGTTTTATAAAACGGTTTCTCGAGTTTTATAAAACGATTCTCGAGTTTTATAAAACGATTCTTGAGTTTTATAAAACGGTTTCTCGAGTTTTATAAAGCAATTTCTCGAGTTTTATAAAACGATTCTCGAGTTTTATAAAACGATTCTCGAGTTTTATAAAATGATCCTCGAGTTTTATAGAACGATTCTCGAGTTTTATAAAACGATTCTCGAGTTTTATAAAACGATTCTCGAGTTTTATAAAACGATTCTCGAGCTTTATAAAATGATTTCTCGAGCTTTATAAAGCGATTTCTCGAGTTTTATAAAACGATTCTCGAGTTTTATAAAACGATTCTCGAGTTTTGTAAAATGATTCTCGAGTTTTATAAAATGATTCTCGAGTTTTATAAAACGATCCTCGAGTCTTATAAAACGATTTCTCGAGTTTTATAAAACGATTCTCGAGTCTTATAAAACGATCCTCGAGCTTTATAAAACGATTTCTCGAGTTTTATAAAGCGATTCTCGAGCTTTATAAAACGATTTTCTCGAGTTTTATAAAACGATTCTCGGGTTTTATAAAATGATCCTCGAGTTTTATAAAACGATTCTCGAGCTTTATAAAGCGATTTCTCGAGTTTTATAAAACTGTTCTTTTTGTATTTTTACGGAAAGTTTTGGCTATTAATTCCGTCGTACCGATTTTCACCCCAACAGTATAAAACGGCAACGGTTAAACGAAACACCGAATATTGCCTAAACTATACGATTTATTCGAGATTTCTTGTTAAAATCATTAAAAACTCGTTTTAAATAAAAAACGTCGGGAGAATCGTAAAAAACGGCATCGGATCAGGAAACGGTCTCGTTAAAGTCGTAAAACGGTTTTTATCGTAAAACGGCCCGAAAGGTCCTAAAACACGATAAAAACCCATCTCGCGACGTTAACGAAATCAAACCACAAGATACGATAACGCTTTGACGGTTTACTCGCCGACGGAAGATAAAAGGCAAGTTTGAAGATAAATAGAAGATTTCCGCAGAAGAAAAGGAAGGATCGACAGATATGGAAAGTTCCCGAAATATTCGGTTTCGAGCAAAATGGAAAGACTAATACCGCCTAAGGAGGAGTATATAGGGAGGAGACATAGGGCAGAAGCTGGGGGACGAATTTGAGAGCTCTCATCTGAGACTTTTACAACTTTTCTACACTTAGAATTTTCCGCACTTAGAAACTTAGGTTCGGTTTCTATGACTGGCGCTCAATTACTAGACGAACTCGCCCAGGCAGTTCGATCTCTTGTCCAGCTCTATCAACTGAACTACGTTCGACTTGATCCCCGAAAGGGGTACGTAGGCAGCCTTTCATAAGGTTCAGTCCGAAATCATTCAAACCTTTTTTCCTATCTTTTTCCGTTTTTCGTTATCAAGCTGCGACACGACTAGATCTAGGGTTTTATGTTTGTAACTCGCTGATGGCCCCTGCGGCCAAAGCCTTTGTAATTCCTTGTAATGATCGCAACGCTCTTACGCGAATCGGAAATATGATCGACTTTCTTTATAAATTCGTTTTATTATGTTTTTCATATTTTTCCGCATTTATTTGGTTACTTGTCGTTGGCTTTCGTAGAGATCCGGTTCCTCTGGAAAATTAGGGTTTTCCTAAGGTTCCTTATTTAACGGAAATCGACAAGTGTGAATTTCGGTTCCCACAGAGACCGTTGGGAGTCTTCTGACGCCGATCTTCCAGCACTGTGGGATCCGTTTTGATGAGGGCACCACAGTCACTTCTCGGGCCTACATGGACGCAGAGCATCTGCGTAACAGCCAGTGGTTTGACAGGCAGCTGCGTTGGGATTTCAGGACTCCAGCTGGTATACGCCGGTTTCTTCTGCCTCACCTAGAGACAACTGCCTTTGCGAGAAACCTCGACAGGCTTCGGTTCCAGCCAGACCAGCGCCTAGTGCTCGGCGCAGCAGCACAATGCCGAGATACAGGAGTCTGCAGCGCCGCTACTTATCGCGCCTCATCAGCAGCACCTCCGATCCAGTTCCCAGATCTCTCCGGGATCGAGGCTGGAGATGAGAGAGTCTTCTGGAGAGGAGTGGTGGATGCTCTTCGTGCCATCTGGTCCTGTGTCTCGAGATGCCGCTGTTCGAGCTGAGCGAGCACTTCAGCCAGTGACCCCTCAGCAGGTCCCTCTCACCAGTCTTATTAGGATGACGAGGTCGATAACGAGAGCAGTGACGACTGATTCACTTGCTCATTTCTATCCCTTATCTCGTACTATTATGTTTTTACTTTTATTTTCAGACTTGTCGGGTTTTTATTCGTACGTTTTATGACTATGCCTGCTATTATTTATTATCTAACTATTGTGTGTGTTGAGAATGTCTAACAGAGCTAACATAGGGTTACATAACTCATAGATGGTGAGTTTGATGGATTAACTACACGATAGGTGAAGGCACTCTCTATCGATCGACGTAACCTGTTTCATGTCGATCGACAAGGTCACTTTATATCAATCGATGTAACACACTTTGTATCGATCGATATGTAAGGGTAGAGGTACGATTCTTGCTACTAACATGAACATTTTTGCTACATCAATTTTTCATTTTTCCTCTTCGACAAAATAACACTGGGGACAATGTTGTTTAAGTCTGGGGGGTATCTACTAACAGTTTTATTTCACTTTTATTTCATTTTCATTTCTATTTTTCAAAAAAAATATATATATATGTGTGTGTGTGTGTGTTTTACTAAGAAGGAAGCAGTGATCATATAGATTCAGACTTGTTACCTAACCACTTCTTAGCACCACTCTTAGATTTTTCAGTACAGAAGGTACTTGAGATGCTAAAGCGGATCACATGTCAGCTATGACAACACTTGTTGAAAATGTCTGGAAGAACCAAAGCAGATTTCCAACCTAACCTGACATCTATTGCTATGATAAAAACCGTAAAGTCTTGTTTTATTGAAAGAACTCGAGGAAATCGTATAAAATGGCAGCGGTTAAACGAAACACCGAACATTGCCTAAACTGTACGATTTATTCGAGATTTTTCGTGAGAAATCGTAAAAAACGCCTTTTTAATAAAAGTTCTAGTCAATCGTAGAAAACGGAAACGATTAAACGAAACATTGAACATTGCCAAACTTTAAGATTGACTCGAGAAACTTATTTTGAAACGGCATTGCATCAGGAAATGATCTCGTATAAAGTCGTAAAACGGTATTGTCGCAAAACGGTTCGGAAAGTCCTAAAACGCGATAAAAGCCTATCTCGCGATGATATTTCATGGATTTTACTGATTTTCAACCATGATTTATATATGTTTTTGGAAACAAAAGGATACTTCTAGTGTCTTTCTTTTTTTTTTTGAACACCAAATATATATTAAGAAGGAGCTGTCCAACCGAAGAGTTAGTTGGCAGAAGCCAAATACAAAGCTGATTTAGCAAGGGAATCAGCTTGAACATTCAAATTCCTGGAAACAAAAGTAAAAACAATGCAATCAAAGGAGAGGGATAGATGCTCGATGTCCCGTGTGATTCCGTAGAGATCCGTCGGGTGGCACTTCGAGGTGATGAAAGCAATCAATGCTTGGCAATCTGATTTAATGCAGATCCTTGTGAAGCCCTCTTCAAGGGCGTTGAGTAGAGCCGAACGGATGGCGAGGGCCTCGGCTACCAGTGGTGATGAGATGTGTCCAAATGTTGCAGTATTCTGAAGTAAGAAGTTGTTTTGCTCGTCCATGAATAACCAACCGCAACCTGCTTTAAGAGTAGTCCCCTGCCATGCCGCATCAGTGAAACAAACCACACTCATGGTTCTCTCATTCTCATTCAAACCACGATGGAGTTGTGAACGAGATGGTGGGGGAGCTGCTTGTGCAGATGACCATTCTCTTGCACTCCTAATGGCCTTAGAGAGTATATCAGCAGGTAGTGAATCTCTGCTTTCGAAGATAAGATAATTTCTCGCTGTCCATATTCCCCAGCAAATCCATGGGAAAAGATTCCCAGCCACTCCCAAAGGTGTGAGGTTAGTGTGGCTTGAAGACGCTAGGAAGGCTTCGCTAAAGGAGGCAAAATCTGAAGGAGAGAAGTTGGACTTCCAGATGTGTGAGGACCATACCTTTTTAGAGAAAGAGCAGTGTAGGAAAATATGATCGGTGGTTTCAGCCTCTCCGCAATGACGACACGTGACATTGTAGTTGAGTCCTCGCTTTGCAAGATTTTCTCCAGCAGCTATCGCACCCTGTACTATCTTCCAGAGGAATAATTGCAGCTTAGGGGATAGTTTACAGGACCAGATGGCCTTATAAACGCGTTGCTCGGTCAGAGGAGCAACTCTGTGTCTTGTTGCAGCAACAAAATAACCAGATTTTGCAGAATAAATTCCTGACTTTGCGGCTAACCAAACAAAAGAGTCTGACGATCCAGTGATGCTTGGTTGAATACTTAAGATTTTGGGTAAGTATTGTGGGAGTAGACTCTCTATCCTTGTCACATTCCACTCCAAACTTCCTCTACACAAAAGATCAGCCACCATCAAATCATGGTGCTCCTCTTGAACCGGTCCTATAGGTCTCGTGGGTGTTGCAGAACTCAGCCATGGATCTTTCCAAATATTTGTACTTTCCCCATCTCCGATAGCCTTACTCAGATTAGATAAGAGAAGATCTCTCCTTTTTAAAATCCCCCTACACCCGTGAGAAGCAGCTTTCGGTGGTTCCACCTGAAGAAATGATGCGTTGTTGCAATATTTTCCACGCAAAACTCTGGAAAGGAGACAATCTGGTTTGGAGACAATCCTCCAGGCCTGCTTGGCAAGTAAGGCTAAGTTAAAAGCCTGTATGTCTCGAACTCCAAGACCTCCCGCTGCTTTAGGAGCCGTGATGGTTTCCCATGCCACCCAACACATCTTCTTCTTGTCCGGCGCAGAATCCCACCAGAATCTTGTAAACACTGATTGAATTCGGGTGCAAAGGCTCACCGGTAATTCAAAACAGGTCATAGCATAAGAAGGAACCGAAGAGAGAACCGACTTCAACATCACAAGTTTTCCTGCACTTGAAAGTTGTCGAGAGGCCCAGCTAGCAGCCTTTCGCCTTATACGCTCGAAGATACTAGTGAAGAGATCTTTTTTCTTTCTTCCGAAATGTTCCGGGAGGCCCAAATATTTTCCTACTCCTCCCTCTTGTTCAATCCCGAGGTGTGATTTAACACGTTGCCGTATTACCTGCGGGGTCTTGGCTGAAAAAGAGACGGAGGATTTGGAAGCATTGATCGTTTGACCCGAAGAAACTTTATACTGATGTAGGATATCCATCAGTGCTGAGCAGCTTTTATCATCCGTGTTTAGAAAAAACATTGTGTAATCCGCGAATAATAAATGATTTAGTCGCGGAGAAGCGGTAGCCACTCTGAGTCCCGTCATGTGACCACTGCGCTGTGACCGTCGGCATAGACCCGATAAAACTTCTCCACAAAGAATAAAAATGTAGGGTGACAAAGGGTCTCCCTGCCGTATCCCTCTTGACGGGAAGATTTTGCCGTGTACGGAATCATTGACTAGGAAGGAGTATGAAACAGACTTCACACACTGCATGATCAATTTCACAAAGGACGTTGCAAAACCGAACCGCGACAAGACGGTTTCAATGAAGTGCCATTCGAGCCTATCATAGGCTTTCCTCATATCCGTTTTCACCGCCATGGAACAATGGATCATCGCTTCAGACGTCTTAAGCGTATGTAGCATTTCGTGCGTGATAAGAACGTTGTCGTATATGGCTCTTCCGGGCACGAACGCAGATTGCGTTTCGGAGATGATATCCTGAAGAATGGGTTTGAGCCGGAGTGAAAGTATCTTGGTGATGACTTTGTAGGAAACGTTGCACAAAGCAATCGGTCTATAATCCGAGACCAGCTTAGCTCCAGTTAGTTTTGGTATGAGACGAATGTGTGTGGTGTTAGTAGCCGGGGATAGACAACCCGTCCTGAAGAAGGACTGGATTTCCGAAGTTAAAGCTAGTCCAATAGTGTCCCAATTCGAATGAAAAAAGCTTGCGGAAAACCCGTCCGGACCTGGTGCTTTGTCCGGGTGTATGAGGAAAAGAGCATATTTAACCTCAGAAGCATCAGGGATAGAACAGAGCCTCTCATTAGTTCTCTGCGAGATCGTAGGTGTGAGTGCCGAACCCACGATTCCGCAAGTAGTTGCTGCTGTGTCGGCCGTATTTTCTGAAGAGAAAATATTGGCAAAGTATGCAGTAATTTGTCCAGCTATTTGTTCTTCTTCAAAGTAAGCTCTACCGGTTGCATCTTCAATCACCGTCATTCTGTTTCGGGCTCGCCGTCCTTTGGCTACTGCATGAAAGTAACCGGAATTTTTATCTCCCAAAGAAAGCCACATTATTCTGCTTCGCTGTCGCCAAAACTCCTCTTCCGCCTTGTAGGCTAACATAAGCTCAGAATTGAGCGCTGCTATAGTAATGTCGTTCCCCTGAGGGTCTGTCATAGCCTCATCTAACTGCATCTTCAGCTTGCTAATCGTCCCCTTGCTGTTAAGATGTTGCTCACGTGTCCAAGAAGAAATAGCACGTCTGCAAATTGCAAGACGAGTATCCACCGAAGCCTCTGGGTTTGAGTTCCAGATTTCCGCAATAATTTCTTTGACTTCAATATTCTCTCGGAGTCTCCGGTCATATCTGAAGAGACGGTTCCTTTGACGTTTTGCTGAGTCAAAGACTGTAATGATCGGTCTATGATCTGACCCCTCAAATCCAAGATATTGGCATCTGCCGGTAGGGAAGCTATTCGACCAAGCCGGGTTGATCAAAGTTCTGTCTAGTCTGCAATAGACTAGGTGTTTCCCGCGTTTGCCTCTCCATGAAAGCGAAATGTCATAGTGTTTAAGATCAAACAGATCACATTGGGCTAACATGTTACGAAATGATCCAAAAGTTCCCTCCGCTCTTTCCGGACCCCCTGATTTTTCACTATTATCCACGATTTCGTTAAAATCTCCAGTCAACAGCCAAGCTGTGTGTCGTGATAAAGATAAGTCAATCAACGAGTCCCAAAAATATTTCGATTAGAAACTTCAGGTTCCCCATACACGAAGGTTACAAAAACAGTAGCTCCTTTATGAGAAATAATAGTATTGATCATGTTCTTTGTAGAGGAGATAATCTGAAGATCGATATCTTGCTTCCAGAATAGCGCGAGACCACCGCTGTTAGGTCTAGCAGGTGGTACGAGAAGATGATGATCCGTCTCTAGGAAATCTAGCTCTTTCAGCACAAAGGGATCCGGGTTTTTTGTTTCCATGAGGAAAATTATATCGAGGGATGCTTGTTTATGGAGCTCCCTAATTCGCTGAACTGTCATGGGATTCCCGAGACCACGACAGTTCCAGCTCATCATCGCTAAGGAAGAGCGGGAGTTTGCCAAGGAAAATCCATCTTTTTCCTCGAACTAGCTGGGATCAACACAATTGGTGGAGCCGCTGCTCCCGACAGAACTGTGTCCTGACGATTAGTACCCTGACGGGTATCAGTACGAGATGCTGTCCCGGGAGATGCGTGTTGACGAGTTGAACTTCTTCTTCTTGTTCCCATTCCAGCGAAGGTTTTTGGGCTAAGTCTGACGCTTGTTCTTCTTGAAGTATTTAATCGTGGTCTTCCTCGTCTCTTGGGCGGATTAGCTGGAATTTCCTGTGGTGCTGCCTGCGTAGCTAGTAGAGCGGTCATTGGTTCTGGGGGAATCTCCGGCTGAACAAACACAGCTGACCCTGAGGCTTGTAGCATGCGTGTCGCTGTTTCATCAACGGTGCCATCCATTTCACTTTGAAGTACACGTTGTTTTCTTGCTGCACACTCAACAGGATCAGGGTGAGCTACGTACTGAAGAGTAGATAGTCGAAGCTCTTCCATCACCTTCTCTCTAGAGGTATCAGACGGAGCTGGAGGAAAATCAGTGATCTCTAGGTTCTTTCCAACTGAAGGTCTTGGGGGTTGGAAGGGAGCACTAGGGGGAGTGACTTCGTTGTCCAACACTGGAGATTTGGCTCTCCATTGACGAATTGGAGACCTGTGGTGATGTTCTCTGTTGAGTCTACCCTCTTGCTCACCAGCATAGTTGTTGAGTCTGCGCCTTGAGTATGGCAGAGAGTTGTATTCCATATCGTTGGAAACTCCCCTAACCGCATTAGTGTGCTGAGACGGTTGAAAGGGAGCAGGGGCTATCTTGTTTCTCGGTCCAGATGGGCGATTAAATGTATCTGAGACTCTGCTGCCAAAGGGGTTTCCATGTCGATCCAGCCTCTGTTGAAAAGGTTTGTTGTGTCTTGGAACAAGGGGGAGAGGTTCTTCAGAAAATGGTTGAGAAGATGTGAGATTCGGTTGGGGATCCTGAATCTCCAGTGGCCTCGTGGCTTCCTGAAGTGTTTTAGCAGTTGAGATCCTCTCCGGGCATTGCGCTTGTAGGTGAGAGAGTCGGAAGCAAATGGAGGAGTGGTGGCCTAGGTTCTCATAGACCAGAGAGATGATGCTTTCCTCCCCTGAATCGAAATCCATTGCAGCTTCCATAATCAAAGGTTTCAGACCATCTACCCTTACCCTAACACGGGCCGTAGATCTAGTGACCTCATAAGTTTCCAGCTCACCCAACTCAAGACCATAGATCTAGTACCTAGTGTCTTTTTAGAGCTTTTACAGGTTCAGGTACTCACTGGTGTAAAATGGATATTATGGAGCTAAAATGGAGACTTTATGAAGATATGAGAAAAACGTGTTAAAAGATATCGACCGATGTGCATTGAGAGCAATCGACCGATAAAAGATCACCCACATCGATCGATAGAAGACATTCTATATCGATCGATAGAAAAGTCCTCCGAGTGATTAAATGAAGATCAGAAACCCTAATTGCTTCACAAGAGTTTTAATAAATTATACTTAAAGTCCTTGGCCGCCTGTTAGGCTATATTAAGAGGGTTTTGTACTAGTTTAAGCAGACTTCTCCATAGACCTTTTTAGACCTAATTTTGAGAAGCATCTAGCTATACTTTGAGAAGAGCTTAGGAATTGAGAGAGAGATCTGAACTACAAATCCAGAGAAAATCTTAAACTCCCTTGCTTTACTTATTTACTATTTTTCTTGCTATTATTATCTTAAAGCATTATTCAAACCATTATGATTTTGTCTCTCATAAATATGTTTGAGTAGTCTCTCTTGTTAGATTTAGGTTTCTCATTAGGGTTGACTCATGCATTGAAATAACCATTATTAGGGTGTTTAAAATATAGTTCTCAATCTAGTCATCATAAATATTAGTGTTAAGGATTGATCACCCTTACCTCTGATTTTAGGATCAATTTGGATAAGTGAGAACTTGGTAATTACCTAGAGCATAAGTTATTTAATGAAGACTAGAGAACCTTTCAAACCAACTATTGGAACTCGCTGGATGCAATATCGCTCGACGAGATAATCGTCTTGTCGACCGATATAGCATAACGTCATCGATCGATATTTCTATCGAACTATCGATTGATACTCACTCAAGGTCATCGAACGATAGTTCATGATCCGAGATCCAGTAAGAGTTAATTCTTCAAATCCTTAAGAGTTTGAATTCAGAACTATGAATAATAAAAACCCTTTATAACTTGCATGTTTGTCATACCTAAGAAAATACCTAAGTTTAACTATCTTCTTTCCTCCTAACAAACAAATCAATCAATCAAGCAATCGCTTTGTTACCTTTTAGGTTATTGTTTTAAACTTGCTGTCTAGCTTTACTTTAAAGACTAAATAATCTGTTGTGTAATTCAGAGTCTCTGTGGATTCGATCCCTAAGTACTACGATTGAACCTCTTATTTGAGAGAATAATTCACTCCTTATGGTTAAACATTTGAGTGATATCATATGCACTCCACCGTATTCGTATTCTTGCCCAAATTTTATCATCTCTATAAGATCTTTTAATTTTTTTTCAATAGCAATAAATGTCAATGTCTTATGAAATAGAAAGTTCTATAACACTAAATTTTAAAGTCTTTATAAAATTCATATTTGCGTAACAGTGGATTTCATAATTTAATACAAATCACCTCAAACATATAGTTGAATAAAATCTCTTAAGTTTTGAAGGTGTTTTTGGTCAGATCCGTTTTGTCTGAATAATTAATTATTCTATTTGATATGTACTTATCTGGATATTCAATATACGGATATCCGATTTGATCCATACCAATAAAATAATATAAATAATAATATCTAATATAAAAATTGATAAAAAAAAAAGATAAAAAAAAATTGAATTTATAAGGATATTTCACTCCACGTCGGCTGCGTTAGTGACGTCGGTTGCCATCATTTTCTGCAGTTCTTAGTAAGTTAAAGGGAAGACTTCCCCTTCTCCCCCCCCCCTCTCCCCTCCATAAAAAATATACAGTGATTTATTAAGAATTGGGAAAAATGATAAGAAAGTTGGTCGTTGTAAGAAATCTGCATTGTTTTTTTGAATGCAAGAGCATCGCCTATGGTTAGCTTTAACTTTGTCCAAATATTAATTTCTGCAAAAAAAATGAAGTAAAATTTTCTCAAATTTTCTTCATTTTTTTTTCTTCAAAACAGAATATTCGAAGTATATTCTATCACTATATTATAATTTACTAAGGTCGATATGTGCTACGAGTGGAATATGTTTTACGTGTGATATATATCACTAACTTATTGAATATTTTCATTGCGTGTGTTTTATGTTAGTATTTACAAGAGAAATGTATAAGAACATTTATTTTGTTTGATTTCAATGTTTGTGTTGATATTAAGAATTTGCGGCGTATAACATATTATATAGGTTGGATAAGGTTTATTTGTCTTGTGGTTGTATGTTTGTTATAATTCTGAATCCATAATTGGTTTGCTATATTAGTTTAGCAAAGCATAACTAATTAAACTACAAATGTAGTAATTTACATGTTATGTCATGGATTATTAGTCGCCTTATAATTCCCGATATGTTGTAAGTATTAATATAATTGAGTACTGCTCCTGGATATATGTTAATAATTTAGTAAATAGTTTCAAAAATTCCAAAAAGTAATGAATTTGTAAAAAAAAATATGAAACATATTTTGTGTTAAGAAGTTATGCGAACGTATTAAAAATAATTTGTTTTTCTGTATGAATATATAAAACTATATATTTTATTCACTTTGAATAATTAAGTAACTGATTTAAGTTACTTAAATAATTAATTTACAGAAGATTCTAACACAGTTTCTAATATCTTTGGGTTATATGCTATTAAAATATTTTATCAGATTATTTTAATTTACTAGTATTATAAAACATTTCTGCATAATATTAAACAAATAGATTGTAAAACGACAAAAAAAAATGACACAGTTTGAATTTTTTAATATTATTTATTTTAGTTATTTTAATAACGATTATTAATGTGACTATCTAATATATATTTTCTGGTTTACAATATTTTTCCATGGCATTTTAGAAAGTAAAACGTTTATCAAAGATATGTAAATATATTAATTGTGTTCACCTTCAACTTAAGAATCTTTATTTTACAAAAATAATTAAATATATCTATGTAAAATATGCATTTATCTGGCCAGAGAATAATAAAGATCTTTTTTTGTTGAAGGAATAATTATAATCTAATCGTTTGTATTATATTTTATTCATTTCGTGAAAATAATTATTAAATTCCCAACTTGGTAAACTTTTATTAAATATTCTTATTTTTTATTCTTGGCTTTCAATTATTTATGAGAGAATCTATATATACTTATTTGTTTTTACATAGATTAAAATAATGTTGGGTGAGGAATAATTGAAAGTAGACATTGATATACCGTATAATAATCATAGACATGAGTTTCGATAATCATGTCGTTACGTTAGACTATCGCTACAACTTTTTTCTCTTGATCCATCTAGTGAGTGATTGTTAAAAGTAGTTCGTAGGCGTCGGTCGAGCAATTGGCTCCGTTCTCTACATGCTGGTCTCCTTGTAGCTTATGTACAGATGCCATGGGAGTAGCGTGTTGTTGATGATCTTCTAAACCAAAATCAGGACTTGAGTGTTGGTCTGTAATCTCTGATCGAGATTTGCAGCCTCTAGATCCTCGAAGATTATGATGTGGCATAATGAGAGGATGAACTTTTTTTTCTTGCGGTGTACTGCACCCTCGGCTACAGTCCGCATAGTCCCTCAGACTGTCCAGTATCTCTGATAGGCTTTGCAGAAATGGCAAGGATGGTTTAGGTTGTAGTTGTTGTAATAACAGAAGTTAGTGTCCATGCTATGGTATCTTGGACACATCAGAGTCTTGATTTCTTCCTGGGTTCACTTTATGTCGTCTGCTGATTGTTCTTGTCGTTCTCGCTCTAATTCGTTGATGTTGCTTCCTCTTTGTCCCATGTTTCTGGTTTTCAATTATTTGAAGCGTGTAGACTCTTGTTCTGAGTATGTGTTCTGAGTACCTATAAAAACTAAACATTAGTCCCATAATGTTTAATGTAATGGTGAATAAAAGCAGTCGAATGAATAAAGATAGAACATATTAAACCTCAAGATAGTAGCGTGATACATCAGACCCTTGGATGAGATGTGGCGTGAAAGCCTGCTTAGACATAGATAACACCTCAATGAACTTCTCAGTTAAATAGTTTGGTTCAAAATAAATTATTAATGTAAGCTTGTAATCCATTTCATAAAACCAAGAGGAAAAAAACTTTCCGAGATAAGTATTAAGTGAATGAAAAGTAAATAAGTTTGCAGTAAGAATAAAACTCACTGAGTTTACAGTGGCCGATATAAGGGTTGCCTGAAACGCATTAAGAAAGGAAGCAAAATCAACAAACGGTTTATAAATTAATTATTCAGAAGTTAATCAGTAAAGAACACTATAAACATGAGTTTCGTTTAAGAACACTAGAAACATGCTTTTAAGAACAAAATCACCTTAATAAAGATCTGAAATTTAAGAACGCTATGAACATGAGTTTAAAATACTATGAACATGAGTTTTAAGATTTAAATTCAAAAGCTTGATAATGTTGAGATTACATACCAAAATAGTTTAATCTTACTGTGAACATGATTTTAAGAACATTGTGAACATGAGTAGGGGCGGATCTAGGAGAGGC